TAGGCTCGGACGCTTCTCTGCTGAAGCACTTGAGTATAAAACCGATGGTCTGTCCGTTATGCTGTATGATTGATCCGTAATTCGTGGAGGGCAGAGATGAGCTTAGCGGAGACTGACTCTTCCCCTGACCCAAAGGGAATTGTATTTCTAAAAAGAGGGCAAGGTGTCCAACCACAAACTACATGGGGAGGCAGTCCTTTTGCCTAAAATTTCCTGGCAACAAAAAATAAGTCTAAATTGAACTTAAAATTTGAACACACATACTCCGTAGCCCGTAACCCGCAAGCGAATTATACCGACCAAGCGACCGCCACTTGTCGGCGAAGTTAGTGCCAACTTTAGCGGATAGAGGGTGTCGCGTGGTCAGGGCAACGAATCACCACAGCCGTTAATTTCGGTTTATAAAATAAAAATACAGGGTGGCATCCTTTTCTTTAATATTGTCACGATTTTTTTCGGAGTGACTGTAAACGGGGGTTGGACTGGTAATTGGATTTTTGAACACTTACAGGTTGTAATTACAAGTAACTATAGCGCTAAAGCACACAGATCAGGGATGGTCGCTGTTAAAATGCCGGATTGCTTTGGTCCACACTTACACAATCATACATTCAACTACAGCGCTATCGCTAATTTGCACACTCTGCAGTTCACTACAGCATGTATTTAAGTCTTCTCAGTCTGGTAACGTCCTTCCTCTGTGTTTCCGAAATGCCCCCGCCCTCAGTTACCAGCTTCTAAGAGCAACAGCTCACAAGGACTGAACTGCAGCAGTTCTCTCGCTAACTTACTCACCAACCAGCCCAGCCCACTCCACTCCACTCCACTAACTAACTCTCACAATTGTCCTACTTATAACATATCGGCACGGACCACACAGAAAATACCGTTTACCTCTTGATGTTCAATAGTTGCTTAGCGGATCGCGCAGAAAACACCATTCTCCTCTTGTTGTTTGCTGGCCCCTGCCTAGCAACGATCAGTGTACAGTCACATATCTTTAAACTGCCGCCTAACAACTGGTCTACATGCCATAGTGCTATTATGAGGGTGTGAATTATATTGGTCTTGGCCTCATTTGTTCAGCCGACCACGCGCTACCACTTTAAAAGGCACTGTCTGTAACTCGGATCATGCAGCACTGCACGACTGGATGACAATGAATATTGAGCTGTAAATAATATGGAAAGGAGCGGCCGTGGCCTAATTTAAAGTAATCTCCGACATTTGCCTGGAGAGACTAAGGAAATCACGAAACTTCTTAGTCAGGATACCGTAGGCGACGTCTAAAGCAAGATTCGAACAAGACACTGTCAAATACAGATCGTAATCATTATTGCTTGAGTCGAGTAGCTCGATAAAGAATTGAACTGTTGCCGTAGAAATAAGAGGCCTGTGTCTGTTTAGCAGAGAAAAATATTGTGACGTATAGACCCATTCTTAGACAACGCCTCGGTAAACATATTCACGCGGAATCGTACGCGCAACAATAGGACGTCCACTGATATGCAATGGATCAGTAAACAAGCCTTCTCAACGATAGTGAGTCTGTGTTTTCTGCGAGGTCCGTGCTGAGGGGTTATGTAGGGACAAAGAAGTTCGTTTGATTTAGTTGTTGTCACAAGTTAAGAGAATTCAGTTGAAGAAGAGTTCATTTGAATTAGTTGCTGTCGAGAATTGAGCCAAGTTCTAGTGATAGCAGTCTAAGATCATTGAGAAGAAATAGCAAGAAAGGAATTAGACTGTGTCAAGAAGAATTAAGTGTGATTTCAAGTACAATGAGTAAAGTAACAGGCCGTGGAGGCACATAGGGTTGTGAGATGTTTAGGCTGTCACATTTTCTAGATAGTCGGCTCACGGATGGAGGTGAGGTTGTTAGCCTTATGCTCCGGCCGCCCTTTACCACCAGGAATATTCCTGATACTCATTTCTCGTAGAGGCTGAGTTGACTCCAGGGCCATAGTGCGGCTGGAATTGTTAGGTAAATTGAAAAGTCCATATCATCGGGATTCGATCCCACGACTTTCCGGCTTGTAGCATAGTGCCTCAATCAACTACGCTATCGCGTGCCCCTTGAAGTACAATGACTACAGTGATAAAGCCGTTGCAAGGACACGACTAGTGAAGACTGAGAATCCTAGTGCGTTTGTAACGGTGAACTGGAAAGTGTATAGATCAGCGATAGCGCTCTATTAGCTGTAGTTCCGAGATGTGAATGTATAAAGCGCAATAAATTCAATAAACCAATCCAAAATCAGTCTTATAAGTCACGCAGAAACCCTTACACGTGACAACATTAAGCGGAATGGAAGCAAACTGGTCAATCCTGATGTGATATTTAAAGGGACTGTCTTCTACCGGTCCGACATGGTTCAAACAGTAATCTTAGAAGTTGAAGTTATGTATCAAACTAAAGACACTGTGAAGAGTTCCGTCATTGATGTTACGTATCAGCGATGATTCCCTATCGTGCTCGTGAGCTCAAGTAAACTGCTCTGAGTCTGATATGCAATGGCATATACTCGATGTCTTTTCACGAATATGAATAAATGTCTGTTGAATGTGGAACTTCGGTTTTCGTATTTGTTTCTCAAGCGACTATTGCATTTTTATTGGATTCAGAAGCACCAAGAGGGTTAGAATTTGGTGCGCCTCTGAGCCAAATTCTGGGGAATTTCATCTCGACTTGTATTTTGACAGTTTCCTTTAGGATTCCAAAGACGAGAGTCGCGCCTCTTTCAGAACCCTCTTGTCGGCCGCAGTAATATTAGTTATCATCCATTGCAAGTTTAACATGTTGTGTCTTACAACAAATATACGTATTTGTCGCTCGTTAAAGTACTTCAGTATCCAGAGATTAAATGCTCTGGTCTGTAACATTCGAAATCAATTCTGGAACTATGAATTAATCCATACTTGGTAGGAATCCTTCGTCACTGATTCGGCCGTACATAGGCCCTCCACCAACACAGGGCAACAAAAGAAAAGCGAGGACATGCCCCTAGAGGAATTCGAAGAAAAATCCAAGCTCTCGATCGTTCCAAGGCAGTAACGTCGTTTACGCGGCGGCCCGGGTTCGATCCCGGGTCTGGTCAATTGGGATTTGTGGTGGTCAAAGTGGCGCTGGGGAAGGTTTTCCCCGAGTACTTCGGTTTCCCCTGCCAATCTTCATTCCACCAATTGCTCCACAATCACCCTCACCTATCATCTGGGGCTGGTACAATAGGTCAGAAGTGGCCGCAGTACAAGGGACTTAGTCCCACCCCACCAGCATTAAAAAAAAAGCGTCGTTTCATTGCGGCCACAAGTCAGGCCACATTTCCTTGAAAATTCACAAGATTAATTTCTTAGACCGTTTTGTCTTGTCACTCATATTGTATAATTTGTAACATCTTTGCGAGCTTATAAAGTTATAAGAATCGTTATGCAGACCGCGTATATTATTATGTGTAACTTATTTTATCCAGTAAATACGTGATAATAATTCAATATACTGCCGAAATATATTTAATGTATTTGTAGGTTTTCCAGTGCATTTTTAGTGGATAGTATTAAGTATCAGACCGCCTCTGTGGTCTAGTGGTCAGAGTTCCGTGCTACAGGTCCAGAGGACCGGGTTCGATTCCCGGCGCTACCAAATTTTCTGGGAAATAGTGGGTCTGGAACGGGGTCCTCTCAGCCTCGTGAGGATAATTGAGGAGCTGACCACGCGGCACCCCTCTATCCGCTGACGTTGGCAGTAACTTCGCCGACAAGCGGCGGTCGCTCGGTCGGTATTGTTCGCTTGCCGACTAAAACCACGGAGTTTGCTTTAATTTGTTAATATTAAGTATCAAATATCACAGCGGCCTCCGTAGTCTAGGGGTAACGTTCCCACCTCATGACTCAAGGTACGTGGGTTCAAACCCGGCGGAGGTCGTGGAATTTTTAAGGGCGGAAAATTCAGGGAACAAGTCCTCCGGGAGGTACTTTAAGCCGTGTGTCGCGTGTCGTAGATTTACGAACGTAAAAGAACCTCATGTCTCTAGGAGACCTCTGAGCTAAATTAAGGCATCAAGGTACCGAGGGCCGACCTCGTTGGCTCAACAGGGCTGATGGCAAGCACCGTTACCAGTAGGGTATGGCGACAGTAGAAATTAAAGGGGGACGCACAATGGATCAAGAACTGGTCTAAGTGCATGGGGAAACCCACCCCCTCTAATAATAATAATTCAATTCAATTCAATTCAATTCTTTATTATTAATGTGCCGAGTCAACAGTCGCAAGGCCAATTACAGACACAGCACAGTGCAGAATAATAATAATAATAATAATAATAATAATAATAATCATCGTCATCATCTCCATTATCATATATCATCACTTCCACATGGGCTTTTATTTCTTTCCGTTCAGTTACATTACGTGTTTTGTTGAGAGGTTTATGTTGGTGGGTCTAAGTATAAATGATGTAATATTGGAAGTCACATCAAATTTTGTGGACAATTCTTGTGTTACTGTGCGACGTGGACTTAATGGGCATGAAGGGCCGTGCGGTTAGTCGCCGGCTTCCCACCGCGACGGCCCGGCTTCAATCGCCGTCAAAATATGTAGGATTGTGGTGGACAAATTTACACTGGGGCAGGTTTCTTCTTAGTACTTCGGTTTCCCTTCAATTCTCACTCCATAAAATGCTCCATGCTCATCTATCGTCCGGAGCTGGTACAATAGGCCAGTTAGTGACCGATGTACCAAGTGGACTCAGTCTCACCCCACCCCACAGAATTACTAAGAACAACACGGTGGACCTAAAGAAAGACGTCGGATTCGATCCAAGGATCACCCTAAAGCTAGACAGTTGACTTTCTATGAAGGTGCCATGCTCAGCGGAGGGCGAGGAAGACTACAGTCTGGACGCAGTTTCATTCCGACGGGGTTGGGACGTCTCTCATTGCCCGTTTGTGACGGATGAGAGTGGGGAGGCAGTGCTGCCATCTTACCTCCATTCAGTGACAGGTTCTTAGTAGACCTTCATAGACAAATGCGCCACAATAAGGATCGTCAAATTCGTAGTACGCGAACGCTTCAACTCGTCTACTCGTCTGATACACAGTTTGCTTCATAAGCATGAAAAATATACGCAAGGAACATAATTTAGATTTATTGCCTCGTTTAGAAAGTTGCAAATTACTGACTAATTTAAAGTGTCGAAAGATGGGTGATAAATTACAGATAATAGAACAAGTTGGCTTTCGTCCGATACCAAGTTTGCTAATAAATATAAAGTGTAAAGACAAAGAACTGAAGTTTCGATTTATTGCCGCATTTTAAAAGTTGCCCAATATTGACTTATTTGAAGAGACGAAAGAATGGATACTAAATTAGGGACGATAAGACATTTTGACATAATCACTCAGCGGATTCAAGTTACTGTAAAGGGATATATACCAGAGTTTTTCTGTATTGAACGAAGCAGGTAGTGGGGGATAACTTCAGAAACGCTGGCAGTGACGGTCAGTTGGTGTGTAGCAGCAGCAGCAGCAGCAACAGTGGTAGTGCTAACGTTAGCTAATCGCAAGTGGGGTGAGTGAGCAGTCTGTTTCTTCAACTGTGGTGTCAACAGAGGAACTAAAACGCAGAGCACTTGTAAGTAAATTGAATGCATTCAACCTAATCTGAATTTGAAGCGTTTGATGTAGCTATTGAACTAATTAATTTGAACTTGTTCCGACCAGAAAATAAGTAGCACAGTTAGAAATATGTTGTCCGAATAAAATGAAGCCTCAGTATTAATAAAGACT